GGCATTTTGCTGGTTCCCATCGATCACGGTCAATGCTTGTCGTGAAGGCATGTGAATCCCCGTAAAGCTACGCAAACCATGGTTCTCGGTCACTCCTGATAGAGTCTTCGAAATCTATCAAGGCGAAACGAATCTCACGAAAACCAACAAAAGGAACTAGCAAAAATGCACGTGGCCATCCCAAGCCGAATGGCGCTCAAATCGATTCCCGCGTGACGACACAACTTTTCAGGAAATTGCTGTCCTGGTGAAGCTGGTCAATTCTTTGAAAAATGCAAGATTCGGAGTGGTTGCAATCGGCTGCCCTTCAAAGATCATCCTTCAAATGGGAACCTATAGCGAGAGTGAGATACGGTAATAATTAACGTTTCGTCGCTATCGCATTCTTCTGCTTCATGAACCACTAACTTTGTGTGTCGGTCTTTCGGTGTACATCCCTTTGTGGGATGCGGCACGCATTCTACTTCCATTCAGAATCGTAGTGGCTTATTGAATGCGATGTGGCCTATACAATGACTTGCGGTGGCCATGCTCAAGTCAGTGTTTTATCCTCCCAGACGAATCTGGTGGCCAATTTACTGTCCCCGGAGGGCAGAGGTTGGGTTTGGTCAGGAGGGCAGAAGGTTTGGTTGTCAGGGCGGAATTCGACCCGGGATCCGAATCCGGGACCGCGCGAGTGGTAAGCGCGCCAGTTGTTACTGCACCACCTCCGCCTCCGGTGAGCATGTACCAAAGTGCAAACACTATTGTTACAGGAAATAATAACAAGTGATGACGGTTGATCAGGTGCGATAAGCTTGTGGGTCACTTAGTTCATAAACGCGCGACGCAAGGGCAGTTGGTTCCAACTGTGAGGTAGCAGATGTGATGGGAACATTAATGATAACGAAGTCAGCAGCTGATAAAACCTGATAAGGGGCCATGAAAGTGAATGGTCACCAAATTCCTCAATATTGGAGGACGGCAGTGAAACTATTCTGTAACTGACCAAATCCGATGAGAAGCGTCAGAAAGTGATTTTCACCAAATTCACAATCGGATACACGCTCAGTGAAGAGCTGTTTGTTATAAATGATGCGAAGGAGATACTAGTAATGAGTGAGAGAAAAAAATAGATGCCGATAGGGAATGCAAAGTAGCAGTACCTCCGTCGTATTATCTTCGGAAAGCAGCAGCTTTTACCCTGCCAAGTCACTGGAATTTCGAATTTGATGGATTTGAACTTGATCAGGAGATTGGTGACGTGTGACAGGTAATGATATAGGCATAATACTGAATTGACGAGTGGAGGCAGATGGTGGTATAGGTGCGCTTGAAACGGGAGATAGGTCTCATCTCTAGAAGAGGAATGAGGTCCAATGTTTAGCGTGAAGCAATCTTGTGTGTAACAAGCTCCACAGGGTCCACCTTGTGATGCACGCGGCAGTATGCGCTGTGCGATGAACCACCTTCATTCGCTCCCCACTCTGGTAGGACCTGGAATGTCATGGACGTCTGACTTTATTGTACTTGCATAACTAAATTGATTACATAGCAATTATGCTGCAGAGAAACCTGCACAGATTCTGCTGGCAAGTTAATTTAGCTGCTGATCCCTGATCATCTGACTGTCACACTGTTTTTTGCAATGTATACTCTCATAGACTGGGCTCATTGTCGCATTGTTGTTGTGTGAGGTATGACGGATTGTTCAGTGAAAAAATAGTAACGAAATGTCAGTATCGCGATAGCATAATCATCGCCATCGTGTGCTGATCGTAACCATAATTGCCATTGCAATTGTCACGCACGACGCCGCGTTGTCCCTTCGTCACATACCCGTGCGCTAGCCAGCTTGTAGTACGATAATTGGTACGTTGCCAGAAAGTTCATTGGGTTGCGAATTTCTAAGCATATGCCGGAAAAGGGGTATGTGGCAAAAGAATCGTAACACACCGCACTGGTGGGCGTCGCGTGCGACGTCGCGCCCGCAAATGACAATGGTTCCAAGTACTACAACGGGCTACAACAGGCAATTTAGAACCGAAAATAGACATAAATGTCCACGGTGACAGGGTCTACATCAAGTCTGGTGCTCCAGTCGACAGGCTAACACGAGTCAAGAAAGCGCCGCGCCCATCGCCGCGCGCGGTGGAGCGGCAAATTACGATCCTCTTGCCCGTCTCCTCCGGAAAAGAGATGGCGGCGGCTGTCTGGGGAGAAAAGTAGTATCGTTGTAATCTGGGTATGTGAAGGCCATATTTGAGATTATCATACACAGTTTTTTGATAGGGAACCGAGAACTCTGAACAATGATGGCACAATTTTTAGCCGAAACTAGTGGAAAATCTCATTATTTTCAGAAGCAAAGTTACCGCACCAACAGATCCAGCAACAGATGCAGGAACAGCTCAAGCTCTCGATTTAGCCAAAACGCTTTTCAGCGTGAGTCTGGAAGAATTTTGAATGCTCTAAATATAGCATGCGTTCCCCCTTATTCAGTTGTGAGGCATAGACTTTCCAACCTTCATTGATTTTTGCCAACCATTTTTGCCATTTGACCGAAACGAGAAACAAGTTACAACTTTCCAGACCGAAGGTGGAAGGCGAAAAATTCTTATTATGATGTCAAATGATCAAGGTTCGCCGTGCGCAGTGGGGAGACCAGATAAAACTATAGAGGAATTAGTCAAGGACGTAAGATCTTGAGTGCTATAGTATTTACCCGCCCATTTATCACAGTGTTCGAATAATGCTGGCTTTGTTTCATCAACAAAAATGTAGATATTATGGTGCATATGCCTACTATACAGTACAACTACAACCCTCTTACAGTTACAAGAGATGGGCGTGGCGTCTATTCATCACTACACTCGGAGGACCTCAGACAGAGCAGATGGGAAAGATAACCGGAAATCCCGATAATATTCTCCCAATTAACTTTGATGTGAGTTGTACAATCGTGACCTTCTAAAACAACTATGGGAACCTGATTTTACTGCGATATGATTACCATCCTTCGTGATAATGTTGCATTCGCACTAAAACGTCGTAGATCCAATCAAGAAGACTGAGTGGACGGGCACAGCCGTGATTTTTGTATAGAACACATGCAGAATCTGTGGCAGTTTCACTGAGCTTACATTTTACAACTGCCATGCGCGTTATGGGAGTGCACAAGGGGAATCGTAATGTACCGCGCTGGCAGGTGTGGCAAGCGAAGCTGCGCCGCCGAATCTCAACATTGAAGAGATGGGAAACGTGCTTGTGATGCTCCATATCTTCAGCAATGATAGATAGAGGTGCAGGAAATGGCCAAAAACATGAACAGTAGGTACCGGAAACAAAGTACGAAAATGCGACTCTTCCCATGAATTTCGCTAGTTTTTTTTTTTGTTTTCCTCCAAATCGAGGAACTGACGCACAGTTCGAATGTCGCGCACCCATTGCCGCATGACGCCACATTGAAAACTTCCCGTAGATTTCTCTTGCTTGTCTTCCACTTATGGGCAACATGTTCGGTGGGGATGAGCGGGCATAAGTGCTGCAACGACTTGCAGCGCATGACAGACCAGAGGCATTACAGACGCAACTGTCATGCGTCTCCATCCCTGTTTAAATCTTCTCCAGCTCACCACAGACAGTTTTATAACACTCTTACGACATATAACTGCATAAATCAGGCAAAGGTTCACTCATCGATGACCACCCCGAAACCCCCCCCCCTTCTCACCTCAGAGAAGGCTCATTACTTTCTTACACGTTTTAGTAGCGGAATACGGCGTCGAGAGGTCGGTGCTGATCAGTTATTAAAAAAGCGTGCCAAGTGCAGCAATAATGTAACGATGATATGACAGAATAGACTTGGCCGTCTTGCATAGCCTACATTTTTTTTTGTGCCAATTCCATAAAGTTGTATTTGGCCTGCCGGGAGGGTGATCATATTCAGTCTCGAGAGACATTTTTCCGGTAGTTGGGTTTTTTTCCTGTTTCCGCAATTGCGGAAACCGCTCCACACCCCCGCCCCCACTGAATGACAAAATTATAAACGGTAAATTGGTCATAAAAGAGCTTCCAAAAAGCCCATGTTCAAGAGTGGTCGTGCTGATGAATGACACCAACATTTCACATATACCAGCGTACATCAGTCTTACATCCACGCAGACGATCTTCTACACAGGTGGTATAACAGCGCTTTATGCTTTGGGCCATTCAACCTACCTGGGGGGAAATGGGATCCTTGAAAAATAACGTACTCTATTGCGCCACCCATTGAGAATTTTGTCGAGAGTTCAGAAATTATGCATTTTACAGGATTTGGTCAAATTACTTGAAAAATTATTGAGCAGCATGACTACTGCCGCGATCAGCACCGCTTCAGCACCACAAGGGCAGCAACAGCCGAAGCACTCCAGCGAAAACCAACTAAAGGCCAATCCAAGACGATCAACAACTGTCGAGCCCAGTATGTTCATTGAAGACTTATTCCCTCACCCTCCCTCACTCCATTCCAATGCGCCATTCTGTTTTAAAAGTGGAAGGCTGTAGGAGTGATTTCTAATATGTGACGCCTTTAAATAAAATCTGTGAGGGCGAAAAAAGGACTGCATCAGCGACTTTAACACGTTGACGACGAGCCATTTTTCCCATGACTTGCGCCTGGGACGGCACATTTTTCTACATTGAAACTTGGTAATTTCCAAATAAATGAATTACCACGACCAAAATCTATCGAGAAATGCAAGAGACGAGTATACAATCTCGAATCTCTGACACAATTTAGCTCTTATTGCTCCAATCTTCCGAAATCAGGCCATTTTTTACCAAATTCTTCCTATAAAGACAGAATTGACTGAAAATTTGTCTCCCGGGGTGGTTCGATCTCCTAAAGAACAAGATCGCATCCCTCGACCCGAAAATGTTTGTTCTTGAAATTAATTTTATGAAAAGAAAGTGCAATCGAGCAGATCTTGAGTTATATAATAACTGTGGGACAGCATTGGGCGACGCCGTTCCACAAGACAAACTTTCTGTCGTCCACCATTGACGGAAATCGTCGTCAACGCGTTAAGTGGACATGATATTTTTGTTGAGGGGGTCGGTTCACCGGTAAGGACAAAGTTTCAGGGAATTTGATGATCTACAGGACATTTTGGCGCGGGCGCTAGGCAGTTTTGTGGCAAGCGATTGTGATATTTGTGTTCAGGGGTCAAGCTAACCCACGAGACAAGTTTTCAACGATTTTGGTGACCTGAAGTATTTTGGCGCCGAGCATTTTCGCGGGAAACGAATGTGATATTCGTTGTTGCAGGCGCTTCAAGCTATTACCCCCCCAACAAACTAAGTTTTCAGCGTTTATTTTGGTGACCTAACCAGGTACTTTTGGCGCCGGCGCCGGCAGTCCGGGCCCAATTAGTTGTGCGTCGCTCTCTCGTTTCAGAATTTCAGCCTACTCCTATAGACATCTTTTGAACAAATTTGGTTGCTCGCACGTCTTTATTATTAGAGCAGTATGCTGTCGGACAGCATTGTCCGACACCGTCCCATGAGACAGACTGGCTGTCGCCCACCATTGTCCGACACCGTCGTCAACGTGTTAAACTACATCGTTTCCTTTCGTTAGGTTGAAGTTTTTTACTTAAGTCTGGCGTGAATATTCCTGGCCTTGGCTCTGGTGATAAAATATCAGCTGCGATACTGATCGACTTCACAAAATCAGCTCAGAACAATTGGGATGCGGTGAGCTGACCTTATACAATATTCTTTTACTCAACTTACTGTGAGTTTTCCAGTGCCTTTCTTATGTCCAATATCCGTCCCCGCATCCTTTTGGTGGTATCCAGACATAAGATCAATCGATATCCATCTAAAATATCAGTCTGATCCATTGATTCGAGCCTTCATTGTTTGGTCTACCCTACGCTCAGCTGCGATACAGCTAGGTTACTGGAGTACTCAACTTTCTCGATGCTTTCGCCTTCGCGGTGCACTCTTTGCAACTCGGGAATTCAGCCCTTTTTGGTTCCGTCGGTATTCACTGCAAGCACGTCCTGCCGCCGCTGAACCTTGCCCCTGAAGTTCTGTTCCCAGCGTCCGCTAATCAGTCAGGGCACAGCATAGTTTCCAGAGGCCCCTCCATGAGTTCTTCAGTCATGTCATCCACCGTCAGGAGGAAGAGGAACGGGCTGAGGACTGAACTTCGGTGGATGTCTACCTCCTTTGTCAAGTCATAAGAGGTGCGTACAACTACCCTACCCTCATCGTATATATTCTCCACTACAAGACAATTTCTCTGAGCACTCTGCAGAGTACAAGCCGGAGAATTCGGTGGTGGACAATGCATAACGTGGAGTAGGATAGCCTCGGCTGAAGAATACTGGAGGCTGTGCTTTCACACCCACACGGACCAGCCCAGGAGACCTGGATCAACGCAGCAGAGCTCAGCCTACAATGTACAAAGGAAGTTTTCGGAGAGTAGTGAGGTTGAATCAGGGGAAAGGCAGCGTGGTTTTGGAGCGAAGAAGAGCATGGGATCTGCAAGTACGAAGGAATAGCACAAACGCTGGCAAAAGTCAAGGCCAGCAGACTTTGTTGTCTACAAGAGCTGCAAGCGACTCGCTAAAGCAGCTGTTGCCAAGAATACTGAAATGGATGCCCTGTACGATAATCGAAGGCCGATAGCGGGACGACTTTGTTTCTCGCCTGGCTAAAGCCCGAGCGCTGTTCATGACATCATGGCAGTGAAGTCTGTGTGGAGCAGGAACATTGGAATACTCAGAAAAGCAGCCGAGCAGGGAGGGATGGGAAGGCTGCTCCGCGTGAGGAGATCCGCTGCGAGGATCGCCCTCACAAGAAGCGACGGCAGGTCCCGTCACACCTGGGCAGTTTGTGAAGTCCGCCGAGAATTGAAAAGAATGAAGGCTGGAAAGGCAAATGGTGCAGGCAAGGAAACAATAGAGGCATGGAAGATTCTTGGGTCTAGTTGGCTCCACTTCCTGAAGAACGCAGTTAGCCGAAAGAAGATGTTTGGACCGTTTCTTGCTCCTATTCGCATTAGACTCTCTGGCAGCCCATTCTGAAACCCTCTCTGCCTCTACCCGTATGGCCATGCTGGTCACAGCTATGGCGAGGCAGTTATTTTATTGGACCGATCTCATGGCCTCGTCCACAGTTGGGTGGAACCCATGTTTTTCCAACTCGGAGCAGTCGAATTCTGGTGCTGCCACAGGTCACGGCTGTTTTAGTCCTACCCCTTCGAGTCTTGTTCTCATTCTCATGCTCTCAATTCACTGATCTCTTACAGATGAGGACATAGTCATTGGGGTACTCCGCTGCCACCATGGCTACACCGTTTCGTTTTTTGTCTCCTCAGCAGTGAAAGATTTTGATCCCTGCCGAAATCTCGCGGGCCTTCGCTTCTTTCCAACGTATTTCATGAAGGCATAGGCCTTTGACCCTTCCTGCGTCTCACGGGTCGGCAACCTCTCGAGACTTTCCGGTGAGCGACCCTGCTTTCAGGGTCTCAACTGGAACTCGCATCATTGGCCGAGATGGTTCATCCTTCGTAGCTCTCGCATGCTGACCACAGAACTCGGGCAAGGGTTCTGCGCGCCACTTCCGGGTGACGTCCTAGCATTAACACTGATACTTTTGCGACTTGTCATGATTGTTGTGACGGGGTTCTTCATCAATTGGCCTGTCAACCTGGGACTGACGCTCGTATCGGCACCCGTAATTGCAGTTTGGTGTGCCCCGGCAGGGATAGAGTGTAGACATGAGGCTAGAGGCCACACCGCTAACCATCGGCTATCCCTGCCCTGTAATCACCTTCCAGTCACCTTCCAGAGAAACTGCAAGAATTTCTGACTATTTCTCACATTGCACAAATAGTAGAGCACTTGAAATGACAGTACAAAAGATTTCTACCTTAACAAAGTTGATCAATTCAGTACGATGTTCTGATGTTGCAATGGAGCTAAGCTCTATTGCCAGCTCATTTTTCGTTTGAAGAAAACTGGTATAAAAACCAAATGCAGAGATCTGCAGAGAAAGCGTTCCAAGTCTGCATAAATCTCAAGAGCTATGTGTAGTGCAAGAAATTTTCGAGCATATTGAAAAGAAAAATAAATACTGAAATTCAACTCTACTCAATCTTTGGTGAAGACACTGCGTTTCAGGAAATCAGTGTTCTGGTGAAGCTCGCCAATTCTTTGAAAGAGACAAGGATAGCAGTTATAGCAATCAGCTGTCCTTCGAAGATCCTCCTTCCAATGGGAATCTACAGCGAAAGTGAAATACGGTAATGATAACTGCTTGTTACACCCACGTACCCTCGTCATCCGGGCAGTTGATTAGGGCGGTCGTCAACGGGCCGCAGCGCGTGCCAGGAACTATTTGCTTTTTCCAGGCTAATTTAGTCATTTTTTCCAACTTTTCACTGTTTTGGCTTTTCCCAGATTAGCAGCTCCTTATCTTCACAAGGTGGAAAAAATGACTAAATTAGCCTGGAAAAAGCAAATAGTTCCTGGCACGCGCTGCGGCCCGTTGACGACCGCCCTAATCAACTGCCCGGATGACGAGGGTAGCACTCTAGCTTGGATGTTCCTCAGAACTATTCCAATGATAGTCTCATAAATGATGGTGACCGTGGCACCTTGGTTCAGTGCCCCTGAACTGCGCTATATGAGCACGAACTCCAGCGTCATTCAGAGCTTTAAATATCGATGAAAGGCTTGGATTTCAGAAGTAAAGTCACTGCACCAACAAATCCGGCAACCGAGAAAGGGACAGACAAAGCTCTTGATTTAGCTAAATCAATCCTCGAGGTAAGTGTTCTGGCAGAAATACCGATCTGGCCAGGGAGGTAATTCAGGTCATGGCGTGTCTCCTTAGAGCGGTTCGCAGCATGATGGAGGAGACTACATATACGTGGCCTTCACGAAGAAGCGTCATTCTTGCTATGAGTTTCTAGAAACGCTTGAAAGGAAATGAATAATGTTAAAAAAGACCCTTGGATCCATCTTTTTTGTCAGTGCTTACTTATAGTGTCAAGCATGCATAATTGGCGTTGGGGGGTTCTTCGCCTCACTGATCACAACTATGACACTCCCTTTTAACTATCGCGCAATGCGTCGCCGGTTTCGTGCGACATCTTCATCTTTTCTCCTTTCTCTCTCTTTATCTCTCTCTCTCGCTCGCTCGCTCGCTCGTTGTTAACACGGCTACCCAGTTCCCAAAATGGCGTCGTGCCCAGAACCGTGGTGAAAATCGTGTGCAAAGATTCAGCTATCCCTGCACACGAAGTTTCAGCAGAAAAAGTTTTGACCTTTTCTGGAGTCAATGAAACGACCAGCTTGACAATAACACATGAACTCTCATATCACCGCGGCGCGCATTTCAACGGAGTGGAGACTCGTTGACAATTCTGCGTCCTCAATACAAACATTCTACCCACCAACCTTACCCTAAATAATCTCATATCTTCATAAACTGCGTACTGAATACTTCAGGTGAACAGGTGTAGCGGTGACGGTTTCAATCGCCCTTCCTCGACAAATTTCTTTTCCACGCCTTTTTGGCGTTGCCGAGACGCACAGCAGAACTTAAGCACATTCGCATGGTCCATGTTTGGAACTCCATTACATGCAACAATTCGATTCTGAAATGCATGCCATGAGCTGAGTGACCTCCACTGTCAGCTTTCACGTGGTTTGTAGTGTCCTCAAAGCACATATTAGGTTGTCGCATAAGTTCTTATACACGTGTTTGATCCTCTCCTATTTCGTTCGCATGGATGTTGGTATTACGTCATCACGTGTGCGTGACGTGTACATTATACTCTTTCATTACACTAGCTATCACTCACCGAGCTTGCATTTGCAGTACACAATGTCGCACAATTTGCACTGTGACAAAACGTACCTGCGCCACTGTTTGGTTTTGCTCCACGATTTCGGCTGGAATGCAAAGGAAGCCCATACCAAGCTGGGATACATACGGTGAGGACGTCATCTCTTACATGACATGCAAGAATTGGTTCGCCAAATTCAAGAAAGGAGACTTTTCTCTCGAAGATGCTCCGAGGTCGGGTCGGCCGATGGAGTTGGATTTGGAAGTACTACGTTCCACCGTGGAGGAGGACCCGTACCTCACCACCAGAGAAATGGCGACCATGCTTAGCTATGATCATTCGACGGTTGCACCCTGCCTTCAACATAACAACACCCTGCCTTCAACATAACAACATAACAGTGGACTAGAAAAGCTCGGCAAGGTAGCAAAGCTTGGTCGATGGGTCCCACATGAACTGTCCGCTTATGACCTCTCGAGGAGGGTGACCACCTGCACTTCTCTCCTCACTTTCCAAAAGAGGCTTCACTTTCTCAACTCGATGATCACTGGAGATGAGAAGTGGGTCTACGATAACCCTGTGAGGAAGCGGCAGTGGGTCGACAAAGGAGAACAGCCAGAAGCCACCCCAAAGGCCGACCTTCACCCCAAAAGGTTCTCCTGTCCTGTTGGTGGTCCAGAAGAGGCATGGAGTACTGGGAGCTGCTGGAGAAGGGACAGACGATTGACGCTTCCACATACGTGACCCAGCTGCGGAAATTGAAAGATCACGTCGACCGTACTCGTGGAAGGAATGCGGAAATCTACTTCCACCATGACAACGCCCGACCTCACACTGCAAAGGCGACCCAGGCCGAGCTGGAGAAGTACGGATGGCTGATGGTCGCCCACCCTCCCTACAGCCCTGACCTCGCTCCTTCTGACTACTGGCTGTTCAGCCACCTGCAGCGCTATCTGGACGGAAAAAAGTTCGAAACAAAGGATCAGGTCAGAAAGGCGCTCGACGACTTCTTCAAGTCCCAGCCTCCGTCGTTCTGGAAGGATGGAATCGACAAGCTGCCTGAGCGCTGGCGTCGAGTAGTGAATGGTGATGGTGCATACCTCTAATCTCCAGGCTGGTTCGTTTTTGAGATATTTACAAAAAAGTCGTGTATAAGAACTTATGCGACAACCTAATAGAATGTTCCAAGCTGACTTGACCACCTTGCGAAAAGAACAACGAGTCAGTAGGGAACTCACAATACGTCGAAACCAGAAAACAAGAGAAAGTCATTTAGAGCGAGATTCCGAGACGAACACTTCTCATCGTTATGTCGGATGGTCAGCCGTCCACGTGCACCGTGGAGAAGCCATCTCAAAGTGAACTCGATATTGCCAAAGATGTAAGATTCGCTGTACATTTTGAGTTGTCTCACTGGTCCTATCGTGATATCGAATCCATATTCTTATTTTTGACTGGATTATCGCTGTACCAGTTTGGCTTACGAGCACTCCTGCGCCTTCATATGATGAACCATACAGGACTAGCATCTGGCAATCTTTTTGCACCTAACGCTAACACTTGACCTAACTAAAGCGTTAAGATGCAAAGCAGAGGCTTACTTCCATCGATTCCTATTCGCCACTGTATTACAACCTATAGCCCACCATCCATGCTCCTACTCGAAGTTACTGTAAGCATTGGTATGACCACTCCAATATTTGTCCACGGTAAACCCTCCAGCTGTCATCAGTGGTACGCTTCTGCTCATAACTACAAAGTTTCTGAACCTTGGATCTACGTCGGAAGCAGACGCGAATAAAGGCAGCTCGGACCAAGAAAAGGGGTGGGGCTGGAGTTCTCTGCGGCTACATAATGGCACT